GGGATGCAACCATTGGTTGGCTATTTGTAAACCCCCCTCCACTCCTACTCTAATGGCAAATCCCAGGGAGACTCTTCCCATTGTCATCTCACCCTGCTGAGCAGTGCCATTGTGCGGGACTCCATCAAGCCTAGGTGCCCCCAGGCGAAAGCCTGCACCTTTGTCTCACTTAAACCCAGAGAACAGGCCCCTCCCACCAAAGTCCTCTTTTCCCACTGGGCCATGTGGGGAAGCCCAGGAAAATTAGACGTCAGCTTTTCCAGGGATACAGGTTAAGCTCCCCTGTTACTGAGCAATTAGAAAATGGTTTGAGCCTGGCTGATGTGGCTCAGTGGTTGAGCGTCAACCTATGAGTCAAGAGGTCACGATTCAATTCCCCATCAGGGCATATGCCTGAGTTTTGGGCTCCATTCCCAGGAGGGGTCATTCAGGAGGCAGTTGGTCAATGAATCATTGATGTGTCTACCCCTCTCTCCCTCTCCCTCCCCCTCCCTCTCTCAAAAATCAATAAAAAATATTTTTTTTAAAGAAAATATTTTGATTAAATGCCATCATGGTAAAAGCCAAGGTGCACTTATCCAGGTATGAGGAAGTCAAGAAAGTCTTTCCAAAGGAAGTGACACTTCAGTGCAGTCCTGAGCAAGGGACAGTTGGGCATGGAGGAGGAGGCAAAGGGAGTACTTCTTCCGATGGAGTACTCTGTAAGGAAGGGATCACGGTACACGCGAAGACACGGAGTAAGAGTGTGACACGTTCACTGGCTGCAGGCGTATAAAGAATAGATCGTGTTCTGCAAGGAGATGAGTGGGAAGAGAGGCCCAGACAGGTAGGAAGGAGCCTGAACAAGAAGGGCCTCACCAGTTTTGAAATCCTCATACGGATGTGGAGGATTTGCAGGGGGCAATGGAAGCCACAGAGGGCTCTAAGTAGAGACGGACAAGACCAGATTTGCATTTTAGAAAGAACATGCTAGCAACTTAATGGAAGCTAGAGGAGCCGGGCTTCAGGCAGGAGGCTTGGAGGCTAAGTAATCCAGGGGAGGAGGTGAGACCTAAAACAAGGTTCTGGCAAGGGGAGGAGCAAGGTAGACAGGGACTGGGGGAAGGAATCAAGATGATTGCCAAGTTTTCAGTCTGAGATCAGACAAGAAAAACATGAAAAATCCTCCTTTGACTTCAACCCCTCCCGAGAGCTTCTAGCCTACCTCTCTCCATGATTTTATCAGCGAGTTCAAAGAAGTGCACGCCTGTCTCCTTTTTCACCTCCCATTCACTCTTCAAGCAACTATGACTGGGGGAAAAGGATGGTGAGCAGGAGTCCTTCATTTGTGCTGATGGACCTGTCAGGTCCCATAGAATTACGTGCTTGGAAAAGAGGATTATGTGATGATCCCAGGAGAAAGGACAGGGGTGCCAGGAAGATGAAATAATAGGTATTTAACTACAGGCGATAAACCAAGAGATGCTGTAAACATGTAACTCAAGAGCTTAAGGGGATTTGATGCTTCAAGATGACTTAGGACCATTTGGGGGAAGGGCAAGGTCCTGGAGGAGAAGGAATGTAAAGGTAAATGAGAAAACAGAATCCTGGTTACTCAAATTGTGCCCAGTGTTGAGGAAGAATGTATTAGCAGAAGAGGGCTAGTCAGCATTGGGCACAGAGAAAGAAATCAAAGGTATGTAAGCATAATCTGGGCCACTTAACTAATGATTTAGCTTTGATTCCTTGCTCACCATGCCCATCTGGTAGGTATGAGGGCCAGATGCCTGAAACTTTCTCTCTTAAAGATGAGGTAATATATTTTACTTTGTAGCTTTCTGCAGAAGCAAACCCTGAGCCAAAGATTCTAGTGCAAGGGTTTATTTGGTGGTGAAGGCAAACACCAGTAGGAGAATAGAAAAGTGAGACAAGGAAAGGAAGGCGGAGCAGAGGGACAAGGAAGGGAAGTGTACTGTCAGGCCAGCTGCCACTGTGGGTGAGTGGAGCTTAATCCTGCTGGGAAAGCCAGTGTAAAGCAAAGCCAGTGAGGGAGGGAGCTGGGATAGCTACACACCAACATCTGTCAATCACTGATGGACAGCTGCTCCTAGCAGCATAATTCCCCCACACTTCTGGCTCGCCAAGTAGGCAGCTCAACTGGACTGGAGTGATGAAGCCTTAGGGAGTACTGACAATAGCCACGATTAGACACAAAGTCTAGACTCACTTCCTCTTCCTCTTCCCCAGGCATTCAGTTCTCTGTGCAGCCTGGTTCCCAGTTCTGAGTTCCTGAGTTCCCAGCCCTGCTCACCGTACCCAACTTACCCTGAACTGCTGGAACAGCCCAGTGCTTCATGAAACAAGAACATCCCCCACATTAACCGCACACTAAGACTAAGCTACTAAAAGAAGGTCGTTTCTTAGCCCAGCCAGTGTGGCTCAGTGGTTGAACATCAACCCACGAACCAGAAGGTCACGGTTGGATTCCCAGTCAGGGCACATACCCAGGTTGTAGGCTCGATTCCCAGTGGGCGGCATGCAGGAGGCAGCCAATCAATAATTCTCTCTCATCACTGATGTTTCTATCTCTTTCTCACTCTCCCTTCCTGTCTCTGAAAAAAAAAAAAAAACACTTAAAAAAGAAAGAAATTCCTCCCTCAGTCGCTTCATTGGTCCTGTGACATTACCAATGCTATTACTAAGGAGATCTGGGGAGACACAAAGCCACTCTTACAGAATGAAGCAACTCCTTCTTTTGTACCTTCTGAATGAAACCTGACACTGCATGCAGTCAGTATGTGCCAAATAGTAATTACACAGGCTTACTGTTGTGAGTATGCGAAACACAGTTTATTCTTGTATTATTTATTTGTATTACAACTGAAAACCTACTTTTTCCCACCCCTGTATTTCTGTCTCTGATAATAGCCACATGTCTTGGACATGCCAGAGAACAGAGTTTAGTGTATAGCTCTTCCAAATGAACTTGAAACAACAAAAAAAGGAAAATGCAAAATCACTTCACAAATATTATAATAAAAATGAGATGAAGAATTGTAGAATATTATCACACAAAGGCCTTCGAAAGAGGTGTTTCTGAGAGCCTCACCATATCAACATTCCTGGCACCACAAGGAATTGCTACTTTGACACCAGTTTTGCTTCCTGAAAAGTTCAAAACTCACCACACCCACGATTCTTCTCTGGTGTCAATCACAGTGGCAGACAGAGGGCAAGAAAGAGCAATTAGCACCATGCCAGGCACACAGCAATCACCCAAAGTTTGTATTCATGGCAAAAGTATGTCATCATACTTGTTACAAATGAACCAAGTAGGCCTGAAATATAAAACATAGCTTCAGATATTCCCAAATACAATAAAAACACAAAGTGTATAGGCAGCTTATGCTAGGAATGGGTTTCCAAATTCCAGTGCACTGGAGCCATAGGTAAAAAGATATGGTTAGGATAAGTCAAAGGAAGTGCGCCCAAGTTCCAACTTACAGTTTTTGGCTCCAAAGTTTTTGTAAGTTGCTTGAACGTACTCTGCACTTGTACATAGAAAGTTTTATAAATGGTGGCATGGTTCTTGGGCCAACACATAACAAACCATTTATTTTTTAAAAAAATATGTTTTATTGATTTTTTACAGAGAGGAAGGGAGAGGGATAGAGAGTTAGAAACATCAATGAGAGAGAAACATTGATCAGCTGCCTCCTGCACACCTCCCACTGGGGATGTGCCCGTAACCAAGGTACATGCCCTTGACAGGAATCGAACCTGGCACCTTTCAGTCCGCAGGCGGATGCTCCATCCCCTGAGCCAAACCGGTCAGGGCCATAACAACCCATTTAACACATAATGTAGATAAATGGTAGCATTGTCGTGTGCTGG